CCCGCGCCCGCCGAGGGGCCCTGGATTTGGGCCCCCTCCTCCGCATGGAGCACCGGCCGTGCCGATGGTAACGGCTCCGTCCGCGGGCGGCTCTGGGGCCGCGGGGCCACTTGGGCCGTCGCTCTCCCGCTGACAGTGGCTCTTTCCGTAGAGCGTCCCCTTCGACCTGCCGCTGCCGGGCGGCCTCATGCCGCGGATGCTCATCACCATCACGGGCACCGTGAACCCGAAACCGAACAGGTACCCAAAAAAAACCCTGAGCACAGGGCTGATGCAGAACTGGTGCACTGCTGACACTGAGCTGACATGGGGCTAATGTGGGGCTAACGCGGGGCTGACATGGGGCTGACACAGGACTGACACGGGGCTGACACATGTCTAACACAGGGCTGACATGGAGCTAACAGGGGCTAACGCGGGGCTGACGTGGGGCTAACGCTGGGCTGACACGGAGCTAACACGGGGCTGACGCTGACGCGGGGCTGACACTCTGGCCCTTCAGGTTCTCCCTGGACTTCAAGAGGGGGCCCGACGTCGCCTTCCACTTCAACCCCCGCTTCCGCGATGGCAGCAAGAAGGTCATCGTCCGTAACTCCAAGTTCCACGACACCTGGGGGAAGGAGGAGCGAGACGCGCCGAGATTCCCCTTCGAGGCTGGAAAGCCCTTCAAGGTAGGGGGAAAGGGAGGCCCTGAGGCCCTGTCTGTGCCGGAGGCGCCGGCTCGGCGAGGCTGCCGCACACACCCTTATCTTGTCTGAGAGGAGCTGCCTCTCCGCCCAGCTGTAAATGCAGTTTATTACCGCGACCTTCAGCCCCTCCTCTTCCTCGCTTGCCCCAGGGCTGCCCCTGCCCAGCTTTGCAGATGCTGGGCACAAAGCAGTACCAGCCCCAACGCCGGCCACTGGGCTGGGGCCTGGAGGCCTTGGGTGGCCTCTTGGCCACACATCTGCTGAGCAGTAGCTCCAGAATCCACCTGCAGCTCCATCCCAGCAGCACCAATGCAGCGTTGTTAATGAGCCAACGCTGTGTGCTGGAGGGGTCGTTTGGCCAGGGCTGTGTAACGAGATGAGCACCAGCTTTAGGTGCCTTGGTACTTTTCCTCATAAATTAGTTTCCACTTAGCAGGAAGATGCCTGAGATTTCCATAATGCAACTTCCGTAATTTCTCACCATTGATTATTAAATTCTCCCCCTTCACGCAGCCTAAGCAGATTCCCATAAGGTACCTTAGCTCCTGCTCGCGTAGGTCACCCTCAGGTGCACTGGGTCCGTGGGGACTGCCCTTCATAGACCGCGTCTCCTCCTCCCTGTCCCCGCAGAAGAGGGCTGCGTGTGGCAGAACGCAGCTCTCGACATGTGAAACTCCGGGTACCACCCGCCAGAAACCTGGGGTAGCCACAGGGAGACACTTGGCTAAATTGGCAGTGAAAAGGCGTAGACGAGGCCTTCTGGGGAGGGAAAGACCACCCGTGTTTTTGCAGTGACCATTGCTGTAGCAGCTCATGCCCCCAGGCTGGACTGGGCTGGCAGCAGCCCCACAGCAGCTTTGGAGACTGAAAACTTCTACAACCACCAGCCGAGCACTGAGCTTTGGCCCATATGATGCTTTTGCCCCAGCTCCAGGTGCTCTGCGAGGTGGATCACTTCAAGGTGGCGGTCAACGACGCTCACTTGCTGCAGTACAACCACCGCGAGAGGAGGCTGAACGAGATCACCAAGCTCTGCATTGCCGGGGACATCACTCTCACCAGCGTCATGCCCACCATGATATAGCCGAGGACGTCACTCTCACCAGCATCGTGCCCACCGTGATATAGCCAAGGTGGCCTCCTTGCTTTCACCCTAACTGTAGCACTTTTAATAAGGCTGTAACAGAAGTGCCTTCCCACTGGAATACTTTTACTACATGTAATCAAAATATACTCTGGAGTAAATTTGTTTTCTGTAAGATAGCAAAAAAATTCTCCAAGCTCACAAGTGAAAGTGTCAACTTTTGTGGCAGAGAATGAGACACTTGGCCATAGCGGGTAGCAGGTAAGGGACATTCTGGTTTGTGAGGAGAAGCAGGGGGGAAAGGCGGGCTGGGGTGTAGGACTAGTGGTGCTAGGAGTAGAGGGAATGGACCTGGTAGCAGACAACAGCTGATGGTTGTAGCCTCAGTTCCACTGCTCAGCAGAGTCCTGTGAGTCCCTGGACAGGGAAGGAAGGGGAGCAGAGATGGGAAGGAGCTCGGTTCAGGCCCCATGAGAGCAGTGGGGCAGGAGGGAAGGGGGCAGGTGTTGTTCAGAGCAGTGTCACCTCACTGACATTGTCCACTAGGAGACACTGAGAAGGGGGAGAACCAGAGCAGCCTGTGATCCTGACCAGGCTGAAGTACTTCAGGATTGGGTTCAAAACTGTAAAAATGCCCTGCTCTTAGTTAGTTATTACCCTCGTTGCCTTTAAAGGCCCGTTGTGGTGCGGGCGCCATGTGGGCGCTGCCCTGTGGGAGGCCTCGCGCCGCCCTCGCCTCAGCGCTGCCGCCACCGCCTTGAGGGCGGGGAGGAGGTTATGAGCTCGGCCCATGACTCAGAGCAGCAACTGAAGGAGGTTCCTCTCCGTGTTGATCCAGTCGTGGCTGCAAAACAGGAGTGGTGCAATAAGGAGGATCTTTGACTCATCTCGCCCCTTTATGTAACAGGGGCTCCATTCACACGCAGAGCTGTCACGTTACAAGCAGCACAGTGTTCGCAGTTCCTGTAGAGGCAAAAGTCTAGACAAGGGCCCTGCTAAGGCAGCCGATTCCAGTACAGTAACGCTCGGTTTTATTTTGGTGTAATATGTACACAGCTTCCAGGTTAAACCTTTGCTCCCACGAGTGCCCCCCACTGCAGGATTATGGACCGAGGGGTCTGCATTGCCTTCAGCTGCAGGCTGGGGGAACAATGTGCATTACATCAAGACCTTCAGTGCAAGCAACCATCTAGTCAGGTATTTCTTAAAATTGTGACAGCTGAAGGTACTTTAACTTATTCTTTATATTTAGTAACTTCCATGTTCCCTATACATGAATGGGTTAGTCCAGATGAGAGAATGCCTAAGGGAAAAGCTGCAGGAAGAGGCTGACAGTAACGTGTCAAGGTTTCAAAGGGGTTAAGGGATCTTCATCCAAGAGAAGAGAGCAAACGGGAATTGGTTTGAAGGTACTTAAGGTCATAGGTACCTGCCGAGAACCAAAAATAATGGAAAACCATACCCACACACTCTATTTAATATACGGCAGGGAAAACATTATGAAGTGGTTATAACCACTTCAATGTGAAAACGATGCATGCAGCAAACCTCGTCAGAGCTGCCGATGAAGCACAGCTAAAGCAGCAAATACTAGAGCCGAGGGTGAAGCGGTGCCCTGTAGTGGCAGGAGAAGAGGGAAGGGCTCTTTGGGCAGGTACCAGGGCTGTTCTTACCCTCTCCAGGTGCCCTCCTGTCAGAGAGGCCACAGGTGGAGGCAGCCCAGCAGCCTTCGCTTATGAAAATAATTCATGAGGCCAGAAAGGTCAGGAGAGAGAAAAGCCTAAGGAATTTTACAGCTAGAAGTAGGCAGGAGTTACAGGAGACTATACAAAAGTAAAAAAAAAATATTTCAGGTTGCAGTCAGAGTATGCAATCATGGCAGACAGCAGCATAACCAGCAAACATACTGCTCTTTCTATACAGCAGTAACCACAGTGCATAATATAGCCTGCACTATAAAACATATTAAAATATTTTAATAAGTTCCACTATAAAATACTACAGATATTCACTTGAGAATGCAGCTCAGGCTTCCCCCTTCTGTTTTTTTTTTTTTTTTCTTCATTAGAAGAATTTACACATTTTGAGCTTCAAGTCGCTCTTCATTTTTGCCCAGAAGGAGAAAGGGGAGAAAACACAATCAAGTCACTGAGTGTTTCAGCTGCTGCAAACTTCTGGGCTTTGCTCTCGAGTGGAGTGAAGGGAAGAGCATCCTCCATCACAGGCTGTGGGGGGATTAAAGTGTGAAGTGAGTGTTCGAGTAACAGTTATCAGTCTGAAAAACACAGCACTACAAGAAGATAAGCAGATAGCAAATTCCCCTTTCCCTGTGTAACACCAAACCAATAGTAATTATGCATGGTAGATGCCTGTATACTCGAGAGACCGCAGAGGAATCACAGGATAAAAATAGCAGAAACCACTTTTGACAAAGGAACGAAATCAAGCAATTCTGTTGCATCTTATTCAAGATTTTGGACACATTAGTCTCAGAATAAGCAAGATTAAGGCAAAGCAAAATTTGTCAGGCAGCTCCAAAAAATGTTCCTTAAACCTTTAGCAGTTTAGTAGATGAAAAAATATGCTTGCTTTTGTGCAACAAGAGCTGCTAGTGGAACCCTTTTCCAAAGCAAAAGGTACAGTTCAAAGCAAAACACCTACATCTGTACCATGACTTTCTAGCAGAAATGTTACAAGCTTATTTCCAGTCATAGAATATGAAATGAGGAGATGGTGCCTTCTAAAGGCATTCAGTACATGAAGAAGTAATCCATATGAAAAGGATTTTTCATATATGACTGAGGAAACTGGATACTCAAATTCATAAAATGGTTTTGAAAGTCTTTGCACACCTTTTTCCTGTTGAATTTTCTAGCTCTCAAAGCTAAAGCTATAAAATCAAGAGATGCAACAGACCAGGGAAACTCCATTAAGAAAGTGGATGCAAAAGACCAGTCATGTCAGACATCTAAATTACGCTAATAAATATTTACATGAAAATCCACAAATAATATGATTTAAAGGAACAATCTGATGAGAATGAGACATGGTTTGTTATAAATGTCTCAATTCATCCTACGATCAAAACACAATAAGGAACAGTTCCTAAGCCAGGACAGGGAGGCAAGAATCACAGGCTATGTTTATTAGCTTAAGTTTTATGGACTGGCTTGATAACATCATCTTACAGCATTTAATTCTTCCCATGTAATGATTAATTCTGAAGGCAAGGTTAACAGTACTACAAGGGAAAGGAGTTAGTCAAACATAATGGGCAGCTTACCATGTCAAAAGGATTTCTATCAGCACACATCAAATCACTACACAAAGCATCTGAAAAATAAACATTTTTCAATGTTTTTCAGAATTAGTCTGTTGCTGCTAATGCTGGTAAAAAGGTGAAGCTTCTTTGCAGTTACTAAAGCAAAACAAAACTCTTTGCATTTACTTCCTGCATTACTCTACTAGGGAAGGAAACTACACAGGAAAAAATCTGAGGGGCATTTTTGCTAAAATGACGCAGCATATGTGTCACACTAGCTAATGCTAAGTTGTGCTACCTACAAACATAACTAGATTAACAAAGCCACACGAGTGACAGGTTTTTCAAATATTAACACCTAGAATACTGTAACATTGGGAAAGTAAACATGAGGCCCCAGCAGCACCACATAAACTAAAGAGCTTTAGGATAAGTACCTGGTTTAGGCTCTGGTATTTGTAGTTCTCCAGACTGAGCCGGGCTCATCTCGGTGCAGGTGCCCTTCTCTGGGCTGCGCATGACAATATCTTGTTCTTCAGCAGATGTTTCCATCTCTTCTGTGCCATCTGTTACTTTTAATTCACTGTCACAGTTTTCCATCATCTGAAAAACAGGAATTCAACTGTTCCTAGCTCTTTGTGAGGCTAAGGATGTCAGCAGCAGCTGCACTTGTTTCCCAGAGAGTAAAAAGAGCGTCAATGAAGCAAGGAGGACACAAGGCAGTACAGAAGACATGAGGAAGCTTTCTTGTTTTCTGTTTTGCCTTCAGTAAAGGAAAGTTTGTCAGCTATTGATGCAGAAGGACAAAGGTGAGATCTATTTCATGTAAACTTTTCTCAAAGACCTTAAGCTCAAAAATCTCAAAGAGTATAAAGGAAGTTCTTCCACCTCGAAGATTTTGAACTTAACCAAAATGCTTAAAGCACTGAGGATGGTAAGTGTTCTCCCAATGAGACTTTACCTCAAGAAAAATCTATAGCTAATACCAAATGTGAAAACATTCTCAGTTTTCCCCAGGGAGGGTTATTGAACAAGAAACATCTCATACAGCAGGGAAAGAATGAAGTAAAAGGAAAAAGCAAATCAGTTGAATAAGATTTTTTTTAATATTAGACTCAAAATAAAGATGACCTATCAGTGTAGCCAAGTTGGATGCCAAGGAAGAGAACGTCATTCAGAAACATATATGTATATGAGGCTGATACAACCTAAGATGACATCTCTCTGTTTCTAAATAGAGTAGGTGAAAAGGAAAAGCAGTACAATCCATTTGGCAGTCGCTGGCAGGAATACGGCAGCTGCTGGGGTGCTGGCAGGCCCCACAAAGGGTGCTGCAGTGCCAAATGCATTCAAGAGGTAGCAAATAAAAATTGAGATGCTACATTTCTGACAAAAGGTACTAACGGGTTATTACTGATCTCCAAAACATTGCCCTTCACCATCACAGTATCCTCTGATAGGCCACATGCCTGTTTCTAATGGCTACAAGTCCTCAAAAATAGGCATGTCACAAAGTCCTGACATTTCAGGGCACAGATTTCTGAACTCTGGCACTTGTATTACTAACACCACCCCACTATAAACAGTACAACAGCCCAAAGCCCACCTATGACAGGATGAAAACCTAGAGAGTCAGGTGCTGCTGCTTTCAGCCATGGCCCTCAAAGCCAAGGCATTTTGAAAAAAGCTCACACCAGGAATAGAGGCACTGGACTCAAAGGAGCACTGCTGCCTGCGTGTGTCACACAGGGGCCAACAGCAGCTCCAGAGACAGCTCCCAAAGAGGAAGAGGAGGACCAAGAACTGCAGCCCAAAACACCAGCCTGAGGAATAGAGAAAACAACCTGATGAGGACTTGACCAAAAATTCAAGTGTCTGGGGCTAATAAAAAGAACTGTTAAACTAGAAACTTGGATTGAACACTCTTATCCTGAAGAGATGAGCAAGAAAGTTTGAAGGCAATTCCTGACAAGAGTTCAGCTCAGCGCAAGAGAAGAACACAGAAGTTGTCTATTTTTCCATATTTGCATAAAAATTAATTTTAGTTTACAAATTTCAAATAGAGCAGCAAAATGACCTTAGGTAAGTGACAAGGGGAGTTTGTCTCACCAGATCTTTCCAGGTGTTTAGAATTGCTGCAGGAATGTGAAATATTGTGTAAAGATGCTGCTGCAGACCACAGGAACTGTTTTTGCAGTGACACTTATGACACACAGCAGCTCACAGTCTAGTTTGGATAGATAAGTTGTTCATGTCTTAGATTTTGATGAAGCGATGGATGTTTTTAGTTAATAACAGAAATAGATTTAGAGCACATGCATCAAGTATACATGACTTACACTAGTTCCCTCTGCTGTGCCAGCTGTAGGACAGTGTTCTGTGATGACAGCAGTGCTGAAAGAAACAGAAGTGTTTTTAATCTTAGTTTTCTATAGGTTTTGATTTAGGCCAACTGATTTCATAATTAGTTCTGCAGTTAGGCTTCCTTGCTTGCCATTGGGCAGCCCTATTAGATTTTAGGGGTAAAAAATAAACTGCTCCAGCATTGAAATTACAGAATTACTTAAGAAGCGAGGTTCTAACATTTACTTGAGAAGACAAAGAACAAAGATTTAGCAATCTTTATCCCTACCATATTGTAAGGTAACATTTAATGAACATTATAGTTTTAATTGAAAGAAATATTAGTTGTAGTAAAAAGTCAATTGAAAGATGCCTTAACATGCCTACCTTTGTTCAAGAAAACCACTCGGGAGAGCTTTGCTAGTAGAAAATTGGTGCATTTTCAAATTTTGTGCTGCATGAATGTCTTTGAGTACTGGTGTCCTTTGTTTTGCAGTTGTATCCTCAGGGTTATGCACAGCCAAAGACTTCCTGGGAAGCAGAGCTCTGCTGGATGATCTTGGAGTTGCTAGTTTTCCAGGAGTTCGCTGGGAAGACCTACAAGGTGTCTTTGTAAGCAAGCCTGAAAGAGATGGTTTAATGTTTCATTAATATTGCAGTTTATAGAAGATTGCTTGTTAGGGTTCTAGCTAGAAACATTGCCCAGTTCCTTCTATTAAAATTGTTGTATACAAATGATAACCTGAAATCTTACATACACTGGTAGCAAAATTGAATAAAAAGGACAGGAATACATCAGTATGTTACAAAACTACATTAAATCAAAGCAAGCAATATAGTAATGACTATTCCTTTAGAATAAAATTGAAATAGTGAGAATTGCTGTTCGTAGGAAACGCAGTGAAATTTCTTTTATTAAATTCAACCATTCACATTGGAAAACACAAATAATAAAGAAATGGATATATAATTGCTTCTTATAATAAGTCATCTGACAGTGCTTAAAGCCAATGCTGTTTGAACCTTTTTGGCAGCTGTTTTGTACAAATGGCAAATGTACTAAAAAAAGTTACTAGTCTTGTGATACAGAAAAAAATCTCTATAAAAAAACAATCTGGGAAATTCAAAGTCAGATTAAGAAGCAGAAATGGGAGGGAAGAGGAATGACTAAGAATCAAGGATTGCTGAAAATACTGGCCCCACAGATTGCGATAAGATGCTGAAATTAAAGTTATATGAGTGTGTGCTCAAGAAAACTTGCTTTTCTAGCAGACTGAAATAGTAATATTTCAATAAACAGAGACCAGCATATTCTATCTGCAGCTTTAAAGACAGTACTTCCTCTGCCATTAAATAAAGGATATTAACCTACATTGATCTCGATGAACAGGTTGTGAGCAAAGTCAGGGAATACTCAGATTAAAACTTTGTATCTAACCACACACTGAACAATCAAGTACCCGCTGTTTTCACATTTCCATCTGAACTGATACATCATGTTGCCAAATTAGTACCCCAGATAGAACGGTTCACTTGGTTCCCTGACACAGTTACCATTGACTTCACATTAATTCTGCCCAATACTGGAGGGAAACAGTATCCAGTATAAACAGCATAATTCCTCCTCGATGAGTCTGTTCAAGTCTCTTCAGTCATTTCAGATCACAGAAATCACAATTAAATCTCACCTACCTGGAAAGGATTTCACAGGGCTTTCAACTCTAAAAAACCCTCCTTCAAAAATCACTTTTTCCACTTCAGGTGGCCTCTCCGGGGGTGTACAACCAGCAGGTCCCTCATGCTTCATTTTAGCCCTCATTGCAGCTTTTATAGCAGCAAGACGGTTCCGGGCTGCAGCTCTTCCAGCCGCTCCCACCTTTGGTTTGGATACTCCATTTGGAACAGTCTTTTTCTGAAATTGTAAGAAAGTCTAGTCACATCTGGAAGCTTCGGTCCCTAACATCTACACAGCTGCTGCAGTTGCTGGCAACACACGAGCCAGCAAGAGACCATAACACATTGGAGACAAGATCTCTGCTCATCTCCAGCTTGTTTTGTACTGTCAGCCAGCTGCAAGGGCCCGTTTGTGATGACAATGCTAAGGAATTTTCATGGAAAGGCTGCAGTTCAGAAATACTCCAGCTAATATTCTTCCCTTGAAACAGTGGGATCTAGGGACTCCTAGTGGCAGGGAGATAAAAGTAACTACAAAATGGACACCAGTTACTCTGCATTTTCTCATGGAAACCAGTTTTTCCAATACATTGTTTTCTACCATGCAGAGGTTCTGATATTCATGGCAAGTTTACATGGACTAAATTCCAACCAGCTTCCTCTGCCTAGAGTTCCTTATAAACTTGTGTATCATTTTTATGATTAGCTGAGCAGCCTCAAGGAACAGGACCGGGTTTAGGTCATAAGACTATGTTCTGTCATTAGAAATAATTATATAATCCAAAGTAGATAAGCTATTGCTTATTGCAAAATAAGCTCTAATGTAAGTTATTTTATTTTGGATAATGTTAGACCCACGTGTGCTTAGAGAATTAGACGCTTATCTCTACCTATGCAACTAATGCTCTACTGGGCACCAATATTAATTTAGCACTTATTGCTTAAAACTGTCAGTCACTGCCAAATTCCTCTGTAGAACTGCTTTTTCACTGGATCATGGGAAGCTTTTTTTTTTTAATATCTTAAGAGTAAATTTCTATTTTAAATATAACTGACTTTGTTTACTCTTGCATTCCCAAGGGAGTCACTATAAACTTAGTATGAATTTTCCTAGCAGGAAGAGACAGCTAAAATCACCACCACCAACTCACACAAGTGCAAGGGAAAAGGGTGCACCCTGAAGGGAATTTTACTGAATTTTCAGACATTTTCATTAACATCTAACATTTTCATTAACATCTAAAGAATGCCAGATGAGCAGGGCTTTAGAAGAAACTGTTGTATACAGATACCTCTACACATCATTGCACTTTGATGCCATAAGACACTTCAGGAGTTCTTTATACCTTGATAATTTCTTTGCTTGGGACATCAAGTGGTTGCCACTCATTTTCTTGAAGCTTCTTCAGATTATCAAATTTTTTATTCACATCTTCAATCTATTGGAAATCCCAGAAAAATCCACGTTGAGAATGCAAGGCTTACACCAGATTCACAGCAGGATAGCATTTTATAAAATCAGATAAGTTTAATCATAAAGTTTAAGCATATTACATCATATACAATATAATAACATATATGTGTAGTTACGCATTCATTTTCCTTAGGTACAGAAGCAGACCATAACACCAGCCAAGCAGGCACTGCCTGACCAGCTCCTCACTTCAAAAACAGAGTTCTTAGCTGCACACCATTTATGCCAAAGAAAACCAAGGCACAAACTAGGAGAAAGCACAAGGAGATGACCTGATGCACTAAATACTAATCATAATATGCTAGCTAGTTCAGTTCTCTCCTTTATAAGAAAATATCAAAGATCTATTTTTTTTTATATAGAAAATATCAGGATCTGAACATTCGAAGGAAAAAACAGTTTCAATCCATTGCATGTGAATAAACCTATTTTAGACAATCTCTGTAGATTAACATGCAAGTACATACCTGAAAATTAACCATGTCCCAAAATCCATCCAAGTCTGTACATGTTGTTTCTTTTTCCCCCCGTTTAAATTCACAGTTATCCACCAGCCCTTCAAACTGTTTAAACCTTTCTGCTATGAGAAGTCTCGTCTGGCCAATTGTTGTGCGAATGAGATCTTTAGCTGACAGTAAGAATAAAACAATAAAGAAAGTAAATCTTGGAATAATCCAGCAATTCACAATTGATGCAAAGATCTGAAGCATCTGGAATTTGCTTACTACTAGAACCAACTTCGGGCCTGCAATACAACACATATGGAGCATACCTATTAATTGAACCCTTCTAAACTTGACTCTTTCAAAATAGTTAACTATCTCTGTAAACCTTTAAGTATTAATAAGGCTCCCTCATTCTCACAGACATAAGCACTTCAGTCAACTTCTCCTTAGTGGCTATTGCAAGGTTGGTCTTACCATCCTCTGGAATGTCCAGCTCCAATTTCCCATCCCACTGGAGGCAGTGAGACATCAGTCTCTCAGTTTCAGACTGAAGAATGTTTCTAGAAATAAAGAGATAGTGGAAACAAAAAATAAGGATATTCTAACTGCTGTTACCACTGTCATAACTGTCAGTATCAATTACTATCTCTTGCTTTCAGAGAAGGTACACTGTCATTGAGTAGATGCCATTAAGTTGCTTAAGTCTTCAGGCTGGCTGACACATAATTTCCACATTACTGTTTTCAAACTTGTTTTCCTCAGGATAAGGTGCTAGACTCAAGAAATTGATATGTTCTTTACTTGCACTAACAGTTCCAAAAGGGAGTCAGGAATGACTGTCTATGCAGATCCCTCCTGACAGACATCAACTATTATAACCTAATGTTTTCATGATGTCTTGTTAGTCACATTAAGGGCTTTAAAATCAGGAGAAAGAAGGTGCAAGTAAATCAACACAAACCTGAAATAGGGCACATCATGCTCCTGTTCTCTTAAGTCATCTGATTTTGTTCCAAGGGCTGTTGTATCTGTAGAAACAGGGATTGTTCCATTTGACCTCTGAATGGAAGTGTTCTCATCTAAATTGCATGCTGAAAAATGTAATAGATGATGTTAGTTGAGAATCAGGTAAAAGTGAAAACACAGAATGATAAACTAAATATGAACTTTATACCTTTTTCTGCTTTCAGACTTGTAGTGTTTTGGTCTTCTTGAATGCTTTTATCAGCAAGTACAACTAAACTTTTAAAATTAGGTTCCTGTACTTTAGTTTCTCTAGATTTTTCAGCTGTGTTTCTGGAAACAAGAACATGATAAGACACACTGAGAAATCAATATCAAATATGGTCAACACTACACAAAATTGCACAGTTAAGAGTTCAATTCTCTTGCATTCAACCCTAGACAAGTTGAAGCTACTCCTTTTAAGAGGAGTATGTCAGCGTGCAAGTATTTATATATGGCACAGTCCATGATATATGCCATTTAGAGCAGCTGTTTGGCATATGGCATAGACAGAATTATGGTTTAGAGCTTTCTTTGCTGTTATATTATGTCCACATTTGATTGAGCAAAGATAGCAATTATCAAGTATTTCAACATCAGAACTATTTGTTCCAATAAAACCTTCTACAGATGGTTTATGTAGCATCATAGGAAGATTTCCTTGCATTTTAGGCCATTAGAAGAAAAAAAAAAAAATCTTACACTGAAGTTTCTGTAAAATCCCAGGAAGCATCAGGCGTCAAAAATGCATTTGCCCTAGAAGGTGTCATGGGTGTGACCTTGTATGTTGCTAATCCACTTAGTGGCTGAAACACAAAATTCTGAGGTGCAAAAGAACGTGTTCTGGGTCTCCCTGGAGAAAAGCTATTTGTCAGCAAAGCATTTTTCTTTTCCACTGAGGTCTCTTCCTGTTGAAGATCTACTGATGCTGAGTGTTTAGGATCAAATACAGAATCTTCTATCACTGGATCCAGCTGAGCGCTTTGATCTACTTCCTGCTTAAAAGAAAATACCTAAACAGCACAGAAAGACAAAGTGAGCTCTACAATATTAGATGACTCTGATGTCTACTACAGGCATGGTCTGAATTCTAACAGGACTGTTAGAAAGCTTTCAAAGGGAAAAATTTCTAGAAAGTAGAACAGAATACAAGTGTAGAAGTCTTGATTTATCAATAGGCCTTGTTGGATTTGGCTCTTGCAATTCACCCTAGCAGCAGGAGTAACACTTGACTGTGAGGAATGTGATGAGAAGGTGCTGAAGGGGCTGAAGTAGCTGAACACCTAGCGTACTGAAGCAGTGATAATAGTGAAGTAAATACTTTCTGTCAGCATTAGGACCAAAATGCTTTGGGTGATAAACTCAAAAACAGGGTAGCAGGCACCAAATCCAACCAGGACTATTGAATAATCAGTTTACACACATACTGCAAACCAAAGACTGAAGAACAAGCTAAAATATGCTGCTAGGTGAACGCAGCTCCATGCAAGGAGAGCACAAGTGCAGTTAGGACAACAGTACTTAGTTCAAAGAGCAGAGAAAGTTAACAAATCGAGTCCACATTCCTGAGATGAGTAGACAGTCACAGAGAATGCATTTTTATTAAAAAAAAATAGATTGACTCAACCAAAACAATTTAAACTGTCTTTCAAGAAAATACGTATTTACAATCCATTGGAAATCTTGTAATAATTGAGAAGATCTTGCTTGCCATGTGAGCCTTAAATTCAAAATTTAATACACTTCTTGTGAATAGATGACTGAGGTTACAGCAAGTGTTCAACTGGTGTTTTCTGCCAGTGAAGAGGTATTTTTATCTGAGCCAAGACATAAGAGCCTGCACTTCACCTCCTGTCACTGTTGGGGTGCATGTATACACTACAGTTTAATACACTAGTAGAGATAGTTGCATTTTTTGGAAAGGGATGGGACGTGGAGGGGAAAAAGTAGGAGAGAAGAAAGACTGAAATGCAAGGAACAAGAGAAGGCATCGATGCTTATTGCACAGGGCTATCAATGCATAAATGTATACATAGTTCTTTGGATAACTGCATTGGAGGACTACCACGAATTCTCATATTGCAATCATCTGCAACCATAGGATTATCTCTCAGTTAAATCAGTCCAAACTTGAGAATCAGTAACATACTCATCCCTATAAACATATCAAATCTGAAAATACATGAAAATTTAAATCCATACAGCTTCTTTCTAAAATCTGGCTTGGCTTACTGTGGATTTTCCTATTTATTGTCCACTGGAGCCTAACTCAAGTCGAATTTCTACGCAATAACAATTTAGCTGTACTTTAAAATTTTGCTTAAAAAGTTCTCCTAAACACAGCATTTCAAAAGGCCTTTAGCACTATAACATCCAACTGATGTCAGTGAAGCTCACTGAGTTTAATTTAATACAACAGGTTTGTCATCTTTTGTTCATGAATGGCATATGCTGATGGACCCATAGACATGTATAACCACCCGTGCCCCTTGTTACCCTTTGCTGAAGCACAGATTACTCATGCACAAAAAGCACATGTACATTTAAACACGTTAACTGTAACCTGTAGGTTCTTATGAAGAGCTAACACTGATTGGCAAGCTCTGAAGTTTTGTATATTTTCTTTGCATTAAGAAGATTGTACAACCTTCCTTTTTACCTGAAAATGTTCTTATTAATGAAACAACAATGATCAAGCAGCAATGATTGATTTTGAGTATTGCTATGAGAATGACATTGCTTGTATTTGGCTTTTAGAGTTTAACTGGAACCAGAGCTCTCAACCTCTAGGAGGTAATATTACTAACCTGAAAACAAAAAAGAAATCCAACAGGCAAATTACTCCAAACAGCAAAATCTACTTTAGATGCAGAAAATAGTTTGTTATTCAACTGTAAATTGAACTGCTCAACTGTTATTAAATCTGTTCTATTGCTTTTCCATTTCAAACATAAAACTCCCTACCTCTGTGATGTCAGGTTTGGCTGCCTTCTGCTTTCCTACATTTACTGTCTTTCGCTGTGGCTGGTTTCCTAGAATGAAAGAAACTCCAAAAGGTCAAAAAGGCATCTAAGGCAATCTTTCACAAAAAAAATGCCTTAAAAAGCTAATATTTAAAGACAAGGAGCAACTGTGAGGGGATTTTTTTCGAAAAGGAGATGGCTAGAGGGCAAACGTCCAAATGCAGTTCATGCAAAAGAAAATCTGTCCTAGATTTAAATGCCCCATTAAATGATATTTAACAAAGAAAGGAAATCAGATTCACTAAGTCATTACTCATTAGAAGTCGCCATATAACTACTTCATGCCTGTATGAGCAGCTAGACACTTAAATACAGAAAATTATATAGCTCTGTTCTAAGGTGTGCACCACAGAAATTAAGAAAAAAAGTATCTTATTTCCTTAAAACTGAAGAGTTATGGCCAAATCAGTTTGAGCTCAGAGGGCAATTGGTGGATTGAAATAATAACAATGGTTTTACTTTCAAGTCTAGGGTTTTACTTTTGTCATATATAATAAAAGACAACGCAAAAAAATCTGCAGAATATCTTGAGGAAAAGAATAAATACTAAAGAATTCCCTTTCAGTACAAATTTCATTTCCCTGTTCTGGTAAACAGAAAAACATGCATGAGAAGAAATTCATGACCCAAAGAACACAGGTTCTCTTGTCTTGCAGAGACACATTTCATAACTCTATTAATCAAGCATTCTAAATCAGTGAAACAGCAAACTGGCAAATCTTTGCCCAGTTCTGTTTATAGTCTTTCAGGCTATGATTACCACATGAATATTGATGCTCGTCATTGAGGAATTTGGGGGGCGGAAATTATCCGATGTTGGTTTCAGGATTACAGTAAAGATCGCAGATAAGATTCTCACGGATAGAGCATCTAGTCCTTCTCTTACATGACAGTTTGGCATGATTTACATGCAGTATTTAACTACTCCAAGAGATAGCTACACAGAATGCAGCATGCAAAGACATTTCAGAACAAGCTGATGTATATCTTTAAATCACAAGAGCCCCAAGATGCAAGCAAGATCCTAAGACAGAGATCTCTTAGTATATCATCTGATAAGGAGCATAATGGCAGCACAAACAAATAACCTGTTTCCACTGTTTATTTGTCAGGAATAGCCAGAGTATTGTCTTTTCAGCACACTGTGTTTAGTAGTTACTTATTAGGACAGAACTAAGATTTACTGCCTCACTTACCAGTGGCAGTAGTTTTTTTCAGCATTTGTCTAGCTGCGGAAGCTCTAGTGATTCTTGTATTTTCTGCTGGCTGGACTTTGGTCTGTAACACTAAGAAATATTATTTCCAGAGATTTCAAAGCATGCTAAGGAAACGCATTCAATAATATCACTGAAAATTTCATAGAAATCAGAAGAGTGAATTAGTATTTATCAGCTGAATTGATTTGTGGGAATCAATAGCTTGTTTTTGTCAGCACAACACAAACAGGGCTAAACACGGGCAGATGTCAGACTCAGCATCAAGACATCACACAGGCAGATCTTGACTGAAGGCTGTTTTTATGGTAGAACAGTTCTGCCAGGGCCCTGATAAAAATATCACTGTACTAGGTGCCATGTACACAGCATAAGGAACTCCATTCTCTGCAGTCTTAGACAAAGTCACTGTTTCTCCTGTTTTACAGATAAAGCTTTCTAGACTAGGAAATTGTCAGTTATTTGTACAGCTAGGAACTTAAATAGAACATATTTGTAGCAAATTGATACTGTTGTCATACTATGAATGTATTGTAAGGTCTGATTTTAATGTAATTTAGCAACATTTTTAAATACGATGAATTATCCCTGACAGTTTTTAAAATATGACTCATGTTCTTTCATGCTATATTACCTACCTTAGTCATTTTCAACTTTGTATTCTGCTGCTGTTTCTAATTTTCTTCAAGAATAGTATTTATGGCACAAAAATAACAGAAGCTCATAATTTCATTCCCTCCCTTTCTATTCCTACATGAAATCTAGTAGCTCCACTTGGTTACTGGTAAATGCTATTTGTGTTTTTATTGTAATTCTAGCCTCATAGAAATGCAGCTTGACCAGCTGGAAAAAAAATACTATGTAAATAACTAACATTTGGTTTATTCACACAATGTTTTCATCTAGGATATAAATACATATTCTTGATTCAGCAAAAACATTATCAAGTCTAGCAGATGATCTTTTGGTAAAAGTGCTCTGATTGTTATAGCAAACACTGAAAATGGACCTTTTCAAAATTCACTAAAGGCATGGCTGAAATTTATTTGAAGTTTTGCTGTTGTTGATTTAGTTAAGTTAGCAATGTGAAAGTCACTTCATTCTAAACCACTGAATATATTATGTTGGCATGAGTATTTCACATAGTTTAGATGCACATCACTGTGCCTGCTATCAGAGAGAAGTTCTGATCAAAGTTTTTTTTTTTTTTTTTTTTTTAAATCAAACATGGCATGGATTGCTGGTTTAAAAAGTGTATGGAACCACTACATAGAAAGTCCCGTTGTTAGACAGGTTAGACAGGGGCTGTTTTTAATGTAAAGAGATGACTGTATTCATCATTTAAACATCCAATCCCAAATGTGACTTCTGCCAGTTGTGTTTGTGCATATCAGAAGTCCAGACTCCTGCTTTCTGCCTTATATGTTGATGTGCTCTATCAGTTAATTGCTTAACCTGTTCTTTTCTGAAGTCATTTCAATGTCAAGTTACACAATTAGCTTCATTTGGAGACACAAAACTATCTCAGACTGAGCCTTTAAAGTTTTTCTGTGCTTCGTTTTCACTATTCAGCAGTTTTCTTTTGGTTATTTGATGTGCACCCACACAATCTTGTTTTAAACAGTTCTTGGGCAGAGCCTATCACTTATTTACTTCCAGCATACTCTGGAGATAGATGAATAACAAAAAGAAACAAACATTCAAACAAACAAGTCAGAAAACTTCCAGGCAGGATAGTCATAATCAGAACTTTCAATTCTGCTCCAAGACAATAAAAGCAACATGTAATCTTAGGAAGTTACAACAAAGACAAGAGCACTAACATTACCGATTTCCAAACACTATTTTGAAACAATCAGGTTTAAAGGAGTCTCAATTGGAAAGATCTCAATAAACAAACAAGGAAAGAGAAAGATGTCAAAATAATAATGGCAAGGGATTTGTAGGCTGAGTGCTTCCTGCTAATTAGACAATAGCTAATAGTTTACAAGAGCAGCTTTGCCAGAGAGATAGAAAACAGGCTTCCCTGAATGCATTTACACTTCATTCAATCAACTTCCTATTTGCCAGACTACTCAAAGCCAGGAAAATATCATATTTTATTTATATCAGCTCCTAAAGCTTTCAAGATAAAGTTGCTCTTCTACAGCAGCAGCAGCTATTCCTTGTGATATTCTTCTCGGAGACAACAGACAAGAAGTTGTGCAGTCCCAGCTGTGCAGGCAAGCAGCAATCAGGCAATTCCAGCTATGGCTTTTCTTCTTTTCCCTCTGCTGGTGTGCATAACCAGTAAGCAGCACTAGTATCTAGAGCAGCACACTTTATAGTCTGTCAGCTGCTGCCCTTCACAGAAACACGGTCATACTAGAAGTTCTTGCTTGTTTTCCACATCCCTCCCTTAATCTGACAGATATTGGACTCAACAGCAAAGCATTAGAGCATCATTTCAGACTCGCATGCAGGGATTATTCTGCATTCATACCTTTCTCTTTTTCAGCTGCTTTGTCTGTGCCCATCTGTTTACGTCCTGCTTGTGTAGGGCAAGCACTACGCCCATTGGCACAAACCTACAAGAAAAGTTTGTATTTTATGAAGTGTCTTATTTCCAAAAGTAAAGTAGCCTAATTTCATTACTCAATGGGCCTGGTCAAATTTGGCACCAGCAACTCTGTTCCTAAGCTTCAAACCCCTAAAATAAAGGCATCTCAAATAAAGGACAACTTCAGTCTCACCTGAGCTCTAATCTTAGTTACAATCCTTGCTGACTACAACACTTTGCACTGAAAAGGCAGTCTGGAAGATCAGTAAACTCTTCTGTATTTGTAGTAACCTTATTAAGCTCTGTAGTTCAGTTCAGCACAATGCTCAACCCAGTACAAGATCTATCGGCTCACTGAGAGCTTAACTGTCCTTTCTCACTAGGAGAGCTTGCTCAGAGCGCTCAACATGCAAGCAAACAACCCCAAGTTGTGGTCTGAAGGACAATTACATTCTTTCCTCCCAATTTATTCACTGAAGAATACATGAGACTAACCATAGTAGCCTTAGATGCAGTTGATGTCACCGGTTTTTCTGCTTGATTCTTGGCCTTTGATCGAGTAATCCTCCCAGAGAAAGTAGGAGCTGCCTGGAAACATTCCCAAAGAAGAGTGAATATATTCTTTGCACTCCACGCATCACTGTTACAGAGTTAAAATTGATTCTGAAATAATACCACTGTTTCATTTGTGCATGAGCATGAACTGAGAACACATACACACAAAGACAAAATTTAACATATCACAATGTTATTTCCTCTTTTGCTTTTCTTTATTGAATCAAATTACTCCCCTATGAGCATTAAGCTGACCCATAATTCACCTTAAACCAGATCAACATAGTATCTTCCTTACTGAATTATTTATAAATGTTTTCTAGAAATGTTTTAGTTATTTATATACAAACTTGTTATATGAAATTAAGTTATCATGTTTCATATACTCATTTTAGGTATTTAAATATTTATTACCTTCTCTTTTGGTTTGACTGTCACAGGCTCTTGGGGCACAAGTGAAAGAAAACCAGGTGCAGTAGGTCTATATAGTCCAACTTTAAATACACCCTTTTTTGCTTTCTCTCTTTGTTCTTTAAGCTTTCTAAGTTCTTTTTCCTCCTTATAGCGTTGGAGCATTTCCTTGCGTTCAATATTCCTCTTCATGGCTGCATCTGTGAGCTGTTCTGCAGCAAGGGTGGAGAGTGACATTTTATACTCTCAAATACATTTTTCAGCAAACTATATTGAAAAAGTTAGAAAACTACAAAGTACTTCTCCAAGATACAGAAGTAACATGTAATATACTAAGTGAAAAAGTGCAAGACTCACTGCCTGGAGTCTGTGCTTAAAATTTTCCATTAAAGTCTTTAACACAAATGCATGCACTACCAGCTTGCCAAAACCTTAGATGATCTGCATTGTTTTAACCCTTGTCACTGGAAAAAGGGTATTCAAAGATAAAAACCCAGCTTACAAATACACCTCCTTAAATCTGGATCCCAGAGATACTGTAAGTTCAGAATTATTTTGTAGAGTAAAGACTATCTACATGGTTGTAGTATTAGAATTCATGTTGTAAGCATATTTATTTGTACAAGTATCTCCATCAAAACACTTGATAACTATTGAAAGCTGAAGTTTAGGTGAGCAAGAACTTGGGAGGCAGTAAAATCTGTCTCAGGTTGAGGAGAACAAATAAGGCAGGAGTTATGAGAAAGAATAAATCCTTCAAACAACACCAACTTGAATTACACATCCATCTGAAAAGCCTACGCTAAGTTAAAATGTATTGAAGATAACCAAGTTGTGATTTCTAGTATTTTTTGTATTCGACATGATTACAAAGCAATATTACTCTCTTCTCCAGTGATTTCCTCCTTTCAAAATAGTAAAGGTGAAAACATTTCTGAAGAAATTTGTTAATAGCCTGCTTAAAGATTAACCTAGTTCCTTAGGCCAGAAGTACCCAGACAAGCTGGAGAGGCAAAATTCAGTTTGCACAGATCCTGTTTTCTGGAAGGAAACAAGGTATCAAGAATTGTCAACCTCTAAAAAATAATATGCACTACATACTTTAAGCGCATGACAGATGCAGTAATATATTAGGAAGAGAGTTCAGTTAGAGGTCAGGATTATTCACTTCCTGAACAAAGCCATCATTAAGACACTTTCCACTGATTATTAATAGCAAAAACTCATTCCTTCTTTGCCTGCTCCAGGCAAATCAGAGCAAAACCTCATCCACACAACTGGAATAGCAAAGGAACTTTATTGTCTTGGTTCACTTCAAAGTTCAGAAGAATTGGTAGTTATTGCTTTTAATCTTAAAACATTTCTTCAAATTAATATGCGAAGCACAGTTAGGGTTCTGTGGTTATATTACCAAATCTGTTTAGTGAAATCTTTAACAATTAAAAAACATAAAAGCTTGAAAACAACCCATTACTTACTCTGCTTTACATTGTTGTTCTCTTGAGAGCACATTTCACTTGTCTCATTCAGCTGAGAAATCTTCTTGTCTTTTGATGGCTGAATATTGACATCTGCCAGTCCAAACTGTCTGCCCTTTTCAAACAGCTTGTGTCTGTTCTCCTTTTGAAGCATTGACTTCCTGCGTGCAACTTTCGTTCTGAGGGTTTCGGTACTTAAATCCTTTTTGTACCGACTGGCAAACTGGGAAGTAGCTGCCATCTTGGGTATCCTGCATAAAAATCAAAATGATTAGAAAAAAATGTCATGTTCTTTTTTTCCATTTTCAATAGAGGATGCATTTATTAACAGAGATAGCCTTCAGTTGGGTATGCGCACCAGAGAACACAAATCATTACTGTAGTAGTGATTCTTCATTATTGTTTCCTTATTTTATATACATAAGTGACCTGTTAGTCAAATAGTCAACAAGTCTGGCACAGAATGAGTCAGGCAGGCTTTGTCACTGCCTGGGATTGGCTGGCTAGCCTGTTTGCAACACATGTTTTTCATGTTAAGGGACAAGCAAGTAAATGACAAGGTCACAGGACAATACTTGGAAGCAGCATGGCCACCGAGCATTCAGTTTGCAGCCTATCTGATGGCAGGACATTTTTGTCTTGCAGAATATTTGGCACTTTTTCCTAACTGAGCTTCCAGGATGCAACTGCAATAGTTATATTTGTTTCAGAGGATTTTTCTCCACTTTTTTAACCTGCAAAATAGTCAGTGCAAACACTAGTTGGCCTGTACATGCTGCAGCCCAGTATAAAGCTCCTTTTACTGCATCCCAATGAAGCCTGTCTGGTCAAGGGTAAAGAGGACAGGATCAACACTCTGTTCTCATAATTGATCTTATCTGTCACTTCAGCCAAGCTCTTCTTGAAATATCATCTTTTCTTACTTACAGAAAACAGGTTTAGAACAAGTAATAGTAACATAGCTAAACTAAACAGCCAGCTATAGGTTAGTTACTGAGATTCTTGCGTTCAAAGAGCAAGTTTTGCAGAAACTGAAGGAAGCAATGAAAAGAACTAGGTTGAGGAGATCAGCCTTGAATATGGATGCACAGGATTTCTTAAAGGCAAAAAAAAAAAAGCACTGTCTGCTGCTGGTCAAAAAACACCACCATCTGAGGCTAAGCAAAAGAGCAGAGATAACACTGGATATTCTAAATGCTGGGGGAGAGGGAAGGAGTACCAGAATAAACATAAAGGATGTAGAATTAAACGGCAACACATTCTTAAGCTGCATATATTTATAGAAACATCAAGGAAGGACATAATCTGAGTGACCCCAGAATGGGATACAGCCAACTCCAAGGCTGTTTTCATTACCAAGGACTCACCCAGCACCAGCAGTGCACTCACAACCAGCTGGAGGTGCTTGAAGAGAGATTGGAGGTAATTCTTGATTGAGAAATGGAAAAGGGAATATTGTGCTGCTTTTTTCGATATATTCAATGCTGGAGGGAAAAGGAGCATTGGAAATGAAAGTTACCAAACGGAAATAAAAGCAAAACTCAGCTTAAGGCACTCGAGTCAGAGACTGGATGTCCTCCATGCAGTTCTGGAGGAGAAGGTACACGCCAGTGTCACCTGATTTGTGAATGTCAAACATCTTATTTGGCATCCATTAACACATTCCAGCTTTTGCCCGTTCATTAATCACCAGCTAATCAACAGTGATTGCAAATGACCAGAGTACCCAGACTCTACTTCGTAGGTCACAGCTGTCTGCTTTACATACAGGTGATAAAGGAAGGTTAATTCCAGAGGAATTTCATCTATGATCATTGCACTGATCCTGGCACAAGTTCCCACGGTGTTATGGATATTAAGAAAAAAATCAGAAGGTCATTAACACATTTACAGGATGTTCCTCTCCCTTTTGAGCTGTTCAGTATGTTCAACAGTATTTTCTTGGCTAGTACAATAAAAACCCACCTAAGTCCTTCTGCCCCGTACAATCCTCAAGGCAGTGATCTACCTTTCACAGTAATTCTCTAGATGAATTCAACTGAAATTTAAAGAGAAAGGCAATTAAAACAATCAGAGACACTTTTTTATAGTGGGCATCATTTAATCACCCCAAGCCAAGAAAAACAATATTACACAAGAGATTACCCAGGGTGTCTCTGAGCTCATTAAAAAACAACGACAAGCACAGGGCTTAAGACTCTTTCTGTAAACACTTTTGGGTATTTTGGACCTTTCCTTTTAAAGACGCAGCTTCTGAGGAGCACTTTGCTCGCAGAAAGCAGTCCAGAAGAATTAAATTTAAAAATTTAAGTGTAAATACGAGAGTCAAAGGAATAGCGTTTATACGAGGGGAAAAAAAAAAAGAAAAAAAAACACTTAAGTGACTAGTTACTAGTACTGCTACTAGTACTTGCAGAACAGCAGCAACGCGAGTGTTTTCAAAGGAAGAACCGGGCACGCTCAGGGATGGGGCGAGGCGGTTGCTCGGGACTGAGCCAGTGGTTGCACTAGGATCAGCCGAGATCCCCCCGCCATTCTCCCTTCAGGGCGCTGCTCCCAAGGGCTTTCCACGGGGTTCGGGCCTTATTTTGGGGCGGTTTCGGGTAGTTCCTGCCGCCACCCCCTCCCCCGCGCCCGCCCCACCGCAGCGCACGC